CAATCCCTTCTCCTCCATTCTCCTCTTGGGATCTTGGGCACGCACGCACACGCGCCCGGCGTGAGTTTTAAGCCACCGGGTCCGGGACACGAATCGAGGTCCACTACGTGGGAGTCCAGTGACATAGCCATTACGCTAACTGCTGGTTCCTAATCAGATTTTTTGTAAGACTGAGTGATTTTTTAAATGGTTGAGTCAATTAAGATTTTCATGTATCAGTTTTACTCAAAGCAAGGAATTGTGGATTAGCTATGAGCCAGCTCTCCCCTCTGCCTGCAGCTCTCCCCTCTGCCTGCAGCTCTCCCCTCTGCCTGCAGCTCTCCCCTCTGCCTGCTGCTCTCCCCTCTGCCTGCAGCTCTCCCCTCTGCCTGCTGCTCTCCCCTCTGCCTGCAGCTGTCCCGTCTGCCTGCAGCTCTCCCCTCTGCCTGCTCTTCCTTGCTGAGATTCACCTCGGAGAGCAAAGTCAGAGCTCACAGGGCTGGCCAGGTGCTCACCGTCCCCTCTGTTCCTTCCCCCCCAGAGAACTTCATTAAGCCCACAGTGGAGCTAAGGAGATTCACGCTCAGCGACGAGGGCGAAGCCCAGGACATCTGCGGCCTCCTGAGCGGCGTCAGGCTGAGAATTCTGTCACTGCCGGCCTCACTGAAAGGCAAGCGTTCAGCACGGTGCTCCTTTTCCAGCGCGTGGACCCCCTTTTTCTCCCTCTAGGATGGGGACCAGAGAGAGGAGAGGATGATGGTAGTGGTGTCTGTGTGCGTGTCACGGTGCCCCATCAGCGGGAAGGTTTGCAGGGGGGTGTGCATTTACTGGAGACAGAGAGAGGGAAAGTGAGAAATCATCCCCTGGGGGCATAGCCACCCCTCAGTCCCTTCTCCTCTCCGGATTTTAGGCACACACACACACACACACACACACACACACACACACACTGCATCTGCTCTGACTTTCAAGCCGCCAGGTCTAGGACTTGAACCGCGGTTGGCCACGTGGGAGTCCCGCACCTTAGCCACCACACCACCTGCTAGCCTGAGGACTGGCTTCTTACTCCCAATGGGAAGTCACCTTCCCCAGGTGCATCTCTGGGCCCGATGTGAACAGAGGCTCATTCACCTGCAGAGAGAGTATGCTTACAGCTGAGCAGAAACCGGTAACGAGGGAGACGCTTTAATGCTGGGATGTTCTGTGTTCTGCCATCTCCCTTTTTTTAAGGATTATTTTATTTTATTTATTTATTATTATTATTTAATTTGACCAGAGAGGGAGAGAGAAAGAGAGAAAGGGAAAGTGAGAAAGCAAGCCGCCAGGTCCGGGACTCAGACCGCAGTCAGCCATGTGGGAGTCCAGCGCCCCAACCATCACGCCACCTGCCGGCCCCTCTGCCAGCTCCTTTTATAGGAGGGCAAGGACAAGGGTCTGCGTCAGAGATACATTATGGTTGTTATGGAAATGGCTTTCAAGCAGTGTCCTGGCATATGCCCTGCTGCATGCCATCCATAGGTGGCTTGGATGCTTAGAAAGGTGACCCAGGGACACCTGAAGGTTTTCTGTCTCAGACGGGTCCATTCCCGGGCCTGTTGATGTGAGAAGACGTCACATAGCCTGGCTTTGTCTGCACTCTGTGGGTAGAGTCGGAAGGCCAGATTTTGTCCCCCATGGAAGGACACCCAGTCAGGATGTCCGTGAAGGCACGTGAGCCAGGACACCAAGCCTTGAGGAGAAGTGGGGGTGGGACCGTCAACTCCCTGACTCTCGGCTGTGACAGAGAGAGGACAGTGTGTGTCATGAGAGAGAACGACTCTGGGGCAAAAAAGAGGGAAGCCTGATGCTGGGAGCGCCCAGGAGCGGGAGCTGGAGGGGCGGGGCGGTCCACAGAGCAGGAAAGGCCGGTCCGTGTGGACGGCTGGGGCCCATGTGGCCTCTCCCCCATGCCCTCACGGCCCCATGAAACCCGTCTTCCTCTTGTCTGGTGAATCGGCCCCTGCACCCGGTGCTCCCAGCACAAGAACCCCGTCTGAGTGGATGCCCAACGTGTGCTTGCTCTCACTTAGCTGGGCTGCAAGTCTGGGGACGGGACCTGCAGGTGGGGCAGGCGGCCACTCAGAATGCCTTTGGTGATGCTGGTGGGGCCCCGCTGTGTGCTTCCCACCTGCAGAAGTCTCTCTGGTCCAGCTGGACAGCATGAGCTTCTCCGACCAGATGCTGGTGCGACGTGCCGCCATCCTTGGCCTGACCTTCACCACGGAGCAGCTGCTGGAGGTTCTCCCTGGCTGGGACATGAAAATGATGATCAAGGCCCTGGCCACCCTGGTGGAGTCCTACATCTTCGATTGTTTCCGCAACGCCAAGGAACTCCGGATGGGGCTGAAACAGAACGCGGCCTCCCACGAGCTGCACGTCCGCTCCCAGGCCCTGAGGCCCTCCGAAGGGATGGGTGAGTGGCATCTGGAGACGACTCCTCTTCCCCTCTAGGCACACCTAGACCGCGACAACACCGGGAGGGACTCCTTGCCCTCTGCCTGCTGGCAACCCGTGTCTTCTCCGCAGCTTGGCACGGGGAGGCGGAAGAGGCGGTGGGCGAGCTGCAGAGCGTGGTCGCGGAGATTAGGATCGTCCGCTTCTGCAGGCCCATCATGCAGAAGACCGCCTACGAGCTGTGGCTCAAGGACGAGAAGAGGGCCATGCACTTGACATGCACCCGCTTCTTAGAGGAAGACGCCCGCCGGTGCCAGCTCTGCAGAGGTGAAGACTTCGTGCCCTACCACCACTTTGTGGTGGACCTCCGCTTCAACCGCCTGGACTTGCACAACATTCACAAGATGGCGAAGTCCCACGGATTCCACAGTAAACTCACTTCATTTCACCTCCTCCTAGCTGTTCTCGGGGACCTGGAGACCGGGGTCTGGGAGGAGTGGGTCGGATGGTTTCTAGTGCCCTGAGGGTGTGAGAACAAATGGTGAAGAAGGCAGCAGGGCAGGCCAGCGGGGGCGGAAGAGCAGGCCAGGGTGTTGTGCCGTGGCCAGGAGGCCCGCCTTGCTGGGAGCCTGTCAGGGAGGGTTTGAGGGTAAGGGCTCTGGGACAGAGGAGCTACTAGCGCTCAGATTCAAGTGTCCCACTTCATCACACCGCGGGGTGGAGTGTGGGCTGATATGATGAAGGGGACAAGCACAGTTTCCCTAAGATAGGAATATGGCGCCTTCCAGTCTAGACGTTGTGCCTGAACGTTTTTAAGTTTTTTTATTCGGGCCAGCAGGTGGCGTGGTGGTTAAAGCGCTAATCCCTCATGGCCCATGGTGCAATTCGAGTCCCAGATCCAGCAGCCTGAAAACACACCAGGCGTGTGTGTTTTTAAGTTTTTTTATTTGGGCCAGCAGGTGGCGTGGTGGTTAAAGCGCTAATCCCTCATGGCCCATGGTGCAATTCGAGTCCCAGATCCAGCAGCCTGAAAACACACCAGGCGTGTGGGCGTGTGTGTGTGTGTGTGTGTGTGTGTGTGTGTGTGGCCCACATCACACAATGCCCAAGATCCCAAGAGGATAACGGAGATGGGATTGCAGTGTGGCCATCCCCCTGGGGGTGACTTCTCACTTTCCTTCTCTCTCTGGCAAATGCACGCACCCTGTGGCCAAAAGAAAACAAACTTACTCTCATTTAATGGGGTAATTGGTCCCCTAATCATGAAAAAGGCCTTCGGATCTATAAAGGGCACGCAGGTCGATAAGTGGACCTCAGGGTTCGGGGCTGTAAAGGTGAACGCCACTGGGATGTGGATGACACGTAAAACCCTGGGCAGAGGCAAGCTCCCAGGGAGAAACCAGGAAGACGGAAGCCCAGAGTGGTGGAGGAGGGGCTGGCAAGCCTGCAGCCAGTGAGACAGGGATCCCAGCAGAGGAGGCCAGTGGGCCAAGCGAGGCTGCCTAGTTAAAGCTGCAGGGAAGGGGAAAACACCCCCACAAACACCTCGCCTTTGGATCCAGCCTCCTGAGAGGCTAGTTCAGGGCTCGAGGCACAAGACAGGGATGCAGCTTCTGGTCATAGCTGTGCAGCGAACAGAGACATCGCAGCCCAAGAGACCTCCCAGCACTTTGGGACTGTGCTAGGTGGAGCTCGTGGGCTGGGGCGTGGGAGGGGAGGCACTTACTCTGTGGGTTTGAGGGCCTTGCTAGCTGTCCAAAGGTGTTGCTCACTTAGATGCGAAAACTGCATTTCTAGAAAGGAGAAGATCTCTTGGGTCCAGCAGGAGGATTAGTGGTTAAAAAGCTGGACTCCCACGTAATTGACCTCCTTCGAGTCCCGGACCCGGTGGCTTAAACTCACGCCGGGTGCGTGTGCATGCGTGCCCAAGATCCCGAGAGGAGAATGGAGGAGAAGGGATTGTGGCGTGGCCATCCCCCTGGGGGGTGATTTCTCACTGTCTGTCTCTCTATCTGACATGTGCCCTATAGCAAAAATCTCTCAGAGAAAAAAAAGAAAAAGATTAGGAGAACTCAGAATTACCCCGTTTCCTGGGTGTCTCAGTCCGTTACTGCACAGCTGCCAAAACTCTCGCGACGAGTGATTTAGAGAGAGGCGTCGGCTCACCCAAAGGTGCACGCCGGGGCGGACGGAGGGTGCAGGCCGGCAGCTCACCTCTAGCAGCCAGTTCTCCTGAGAACCAGCCCTTCTCAGGGGACCAGGAACTCACCGTGCTCTGAGACGTATTCTGTTCACCGAGGGCTCCTCCATGACGCAGTCGCCATGGCGCGCTCACCGCCCACTAGGCTTCACCACCTCCCACGCGGAATCTCAAACCTGAAACTCTAAGGGACAAACCATAACCCTGCGGGAGGGGAGGGGAGGAGACACAGAGCGCTCTCGGCTCAGGGGCGGTCACTTCTGATCTCATGCTGTCGGGGAACTAACCACGGCTCCATCTCTGACGTGGTAGGGACTGGGCCAGCCAGGTCCGGCTGGGCGCTGGCTCCGCGTTGGGAGGAGGGAGGAGTCTTCTGGATACCAGGTACCCCCCACGGGGAGCGTGGCGGTGCCCACACGGCACGCGTTCATTTTCTAGCTAAAGAAGAGGCCGTCTTTCCCAGTGCCGAGATGCCTCAGAGGGTGAAGACCTCCCCTGAGACTCCCAGGTACAGCGCACAGCCTGGTTCAGGAGGGACGCCCCGCTAGAGTCATGTCTGGTCGTCTGGGCTGTGGGTGTGAGCGGGGGAGGTCAGGCACGCACATGGCGAGCGGGGACAGCAGTGCCCACTTCGGGTTTTATTACCTTGCTCATCTGTAAGTTGTTTTTTTTTTTTTTAAGGTTTTTGCCAACAAGGCATGTTCACTTGCCAGAGAGAGATGGAGAGAGGGAAAGTGAGAAATCATTCCTCACAGGGGATGGTCATGCCACTGTCCCTTCTCCCTCATTTTCCTCTTGGGACTTTCGGCACACACACACACACACACACACACACACATGTGCCTGGTGTGATTTTTAAACTGTCGGGTCTGGGACTCGAACCATAGTCGCTCATGTGGGAGTCCAGTGCCTGAACCACCACACCGTCTGCTGACCCCGCTCTTGTATTAGTTTGTATGATGTTTTCATATACCTACAAGCTCTTGCTCCTGTTTATTTCTGCCATTTGGACAGTCCTGAAGAAATACAAGAAAAGATCCTGGGTTTCTTCGACACGGTGATCAGCAGAGTAAAGGCGTCGGAGGAAAACGCCGTCCCCTCGGAGCCCTGCCAGTGCGAGGAGATCCTGGAAATGGTCCTCCTGCCGCTGGCCCACCACTTCCTGGCGCTGGGAGAGGACGACAAAGCCTTGTACTACCTCCTGGAAGCGGCGGCCGCGTACATGAGCTGGGGCGATAACTACAAGGTAGGGCGCCCACCCGGCCCGCCCGCGGTGCTCAGGGACCCGGTCTAGCCCTAACCCGCCTCTGCACACTGCGGGAACCGCCCTGCACCGAGGTAAGAGAGCACACGCTGCGGCCAGCACCGCGTGTCATTTCACATCTGGAGCCGCTCGGTGAGCTGTCTGCCCTGTGGGGGTCAGGCCCTGGGCCGATGGCGAGGTCGCTCAGCGCCTCCCGCCCAGCAGCGCTGGCCGGCTGTCATCCAGGAGGCCTGTGAGTGCAGCGTGCCTGCAGGCCTGCGGACCTGGGCAGATGTGGCTCCGTCCTGAGACCGGCCGGAGAGGCGCACACGTGTTGGCCTTCATGGGGTCCATGCTAGGTGGCCACACGTGCTTAGGCCACCGAAGCACTGGGTCATCTCCAAGGTCACTGTAACTTAGGCGCCAGGGCAATAGGCCGCTAGAAATGGGGGCGGGGATTGAGCCGAATAATGAATATAAAGAACTTATTGCGGGGCCAGCAGGTGGCATAGTGATTAAGGGGTTGTATTCGCACGTGGTCAGCCATGGTTCAAGTCCTGGACCTAGAGGCTTGAAACTCACGCTGGGTTCTTGTGCATATGTGCTCAAAATCCCAGGAGGAGAATGGAGGAGAGGGGACTGTGGCGTGGCCATCTTCCCTGGGGATGACGATGAGCTCTGGTGAGCACATCTCTCAAAAAAATAAAAATAAAAAGCAAAACAATAAAAAATATTGTTAAACTCAAGAAGCATGGAACTGATATTCCAGGGCACATACGCCGGGTGTCATGGGACTCTGGCCTGTGAGTTCTGGGAGGAGAGAGGTCTAGGGAGCCCCGGGGCCGGCCCTCTGAAACTATGCACACCCCTTTCACTCGACCGGGAGTGGAAGAGACCGGAACACCCTGACTGGAGGCAGAGCCATGGAACAGGGTCCCAGAATGTGCCACTTGTACCCCTCTCCCACCAAACTGGGGGCACTGGGGCTGGTGGCGGCCTTGTCTGGCTGTCCACACACTCTCCTCAGGCTGCACGAGGTGTGGGGACGTAGCCTCATCTTCTGTTACTCTTCGAGCCCCCCTAACTTGGCGCATGTGCCAGGACACCTGTCTAACGACGCCTTGGGAGGTCGGGGCCGCAGTGAGGACAGTGGCTGCACCTCCCAGAAATGGCCCTGGCCCAGGAAATGAGGGTGCTTCATTCCAAAGGTGGTGCCCAGCTTCTCAATGTGGGGACGCCCTTGGAAATAGGGGTTGGAAAAGAATTACTGAGAGGAGGAAATTGCCCGGAGGTTGGGGGGGGCTTCAGGTGAGGCACCCACAGGGCAGAGGAGGAAAGGGGGAAGACCGCGGTCTCCTCCCGTTGGTGGAGCCACCCAGACCCAAGGTGGACAGG